CCTAAACAGCTTTAGAAGGTATTGCGATATTCACATGTATGACACCAGAAGCAAAAAAAATATCCTACCGAAGAAAATTTATCACTCCATGCAAAAAACTCCAGTGAATACTGGAATTCGTCTATTCAAAATTCTGCCCCTCGAATTGAGAGAGACATCTAGATATCTCCAAACGCAAATTGAAGAAAGTACTGGTCGAAGTATGCTTTTACTCCCTCCGTGAGTTCGAACATTTTTGCAGTTAGTGAGTTTCAGTACTGTATTCTCTTGCTTCTTCATATTTCGCTTTATCTTTGTGGGATTTTTCACAGGCGGTGAAGTATGCATCACTGAAATACCAGATTCAAATTCGGTTTTTGACTCGATGTTTCATAACATTCAAGAATGTAATCTTTTTTTTAACCATTATTAATTTTTTTCATTTTGATTGTACATATTCATTCAGACACAATTTGATTTGTGAACTTGGACTAATCCGATCTATTTCTTGTTAATATGGATACAATAAATTTGAATTTGACTATTTGGCAGGAGTTGGCCATTTTTCGCTTGATTATATGTTGGACAACTTGTATACGGCTTCTTTGAATTTCATCTCAAACCAGTGTTCCAGTGTTCCTCCCTGTGGATCATCTCAGCTTAGGACCACTTGATGCTATGTTGATGAATACAAACATGCTCTGCTATTTCCGATTTGCTGGTTTCTCCTCGTTGTGTGTGTTTCTTGTGCTCGGCAATGTGGACTTTATATCATATTAGACAATAGAAATCCGAACTAATGAAATTAACTTAAGATTACAAATCGCTCGTGTAGAATATCCAATGTGGCATGAGCTGTGTGGCACGTCCTACCAAAATCACAGAGGTCGTTGGAGTCCAGATCATCCAATTCAGTCGAAAAAAGACAGTGATGGCCTAACCAGCGCAGCGTTGTGTTCAAAGAAATAGGGACCGATGACGCCGCTAGCCCAGAATTGTGAATTGGTATCGTCCCAAGTTCAATAATTTTGTTTGTTCACGTACCCATTCATCCAGAAATGGGACTCATTTTCGATGAAAATTAAGGTCAGTTGCCAATTGCTCCAGAGCCCATTCAGCGAACACATGTTGTCTGTAGTTGTTTACCTTGAATTCCTGGGTCAGTTGAATTTTGTACGGGTCCAGGCTCAAGTCACAACGCAAAATTCGCCGAGTCGTGTTTCGTCGATGTTTCAAAATTCAGAGTTCAATTTTATACTTGATAATGGGATTAAACCCGAAACCGGTCGGATAAATAAAATTTTCCGGTGGTATTTAGACAAAAGTGTTTTTATTCATTTCATTTAAGTGATCACGAATTACCATGAAGTAAACAAGTCATCAATCACACATAATAGTCAATTAAATTTCACAATTTTTATAATTTGATTCACTTTCGTCGGTATTAGTTATCAGTAAATGATCTTTCTCTTCACTTTTTTAGGTTTGTCATTTAGAAGATGGTGCCCATTTTGGAGAGATAGCCCTATTAATCAAAGATACATTCAGAATTGCCTCGGTGATAGCTGTTGAAGTATCGGAAATCTACCGCTTGGACCAAAAAGACTTTGTCAAGGCTATCAATCCATATCCCGATCTCTTGGCCAACATTCAGCACATAGCAGAAGAACGGATGGAAGTATCTTCAATGTTAGACGAATATAACAGGAGGGAAATTGCATCGAAAAGATTCAACCTTTTAAACCAATAAAAATGTGAATAAACAAATTGAAATGAAATTAATTTTTTTTTCATTAAATTTTTTATCTTTCAGATCATAATAAAATCATATAGAAGTCACTCGCCAGAGTTGAAGTTTATAAGATACGAGGAGACTATTACCGCAATGTGGCGCTGACGATGATGAAAAACAGGTAAAACAAAGACGTAGCTCATATAAATGGAAATATTTCTTATACTTAGACTAAAATCATTTCAGTTGAGTTTTCATTCCACTACTGTTTTCGGAACATTTTTATATTACTACATTTTTGCGTTATTATATTGACTAAATGCTCAGTTAACAATAAATTTTAAATTCATGGAGTGACTCTTGATTAGTTTGAAGAAATTTTTCAGTAAATACATGAAAATAAGTAGGTACTACTAATAAGCGTCATGACAATTTCTTATAGCAATAATCAATATTTATTCTGTTTGATATTTGAATGCTATATTACTATGCATTGAATAGATGAAAAACACATATCTGTCATGAGTAGACCACGAAACTACTTACCTACATTTGTGTTTTCAGCAAAAATTTAATCACTTTTGATTAGGTAAGGTGGATAAATGTTAGGGAAACCCAGTACAGTAGATACCCAGAGCAAAGCGAATATTGCCTTTAATTCCCAAATAGTTCGTTGGCCGACCGCCGTATTGTCATAGCAACGATCGCTAGTTGCCGCTCCGTGCGCAGGACGAGTTCGCATCGCGCTGTGTCAGTGACCGGATAGAGTGTGGTTTTGGTAAAAAAAAATATTAATTTACAGAGGTAAGTGTTTCGTTCATAACTATAGTACTATTTGCGAAATGTTCTTTGTTATGAGCAGAATTTGATGCATGATTATGTAGCTTTCAATTATCCGTAGACAAAGAGTTAAGATGCTCTGGTTTTTAAGTAATTTGGGATAACCTCAAAAATGTACTTGAAGGGCAAAGTGGATGGATACCTTATTCACTTTGCCCGGTCATGACAAGTTATACAGTTTTACGGAATTATGTACTTTATAGCGTTTTTTCCATTGCAGATGGTGTATAAATATAAAAAACACAAAGATCCTGGAGTAAAGAAAACATGCAGGCCGCTGTAAATTTGTGTTTGGCGGGAGAGTCGAATAAAGGTACGGCAAAATATCGATATGTCAAAAGTGGAATTGCTTCTCCACAGTTAGGTCGATTCCGTCCTATATTCACGTAGGTTCAAGAAAATTAAATGGTGACCTATCTACAAAATAAGGACGCAGTGTTTTTTGGCCTTACTCTGGATGAATTTATGAGCCTACCATTTTAGTATTCAAAACGCAACCATTCATAGTATCCTGAGAGCTGGAATAAACATAACAAAGAAGGATAAGACTGGCTGCAAGGATTTTAATCACGTCATACTAACTTGACTTTAAAAACTCCAGAATCGACGCCTGTGCCAAGGGCAAATCGCGAAAAAACCCATTTTTACGATAACCTTGAATCTGCCATCGAGAAATATAACATCCGAATGACAACTGTCATTGGCTGTTTTAATGCAGCTGGTAGCTTTCTTCGACCTTTTTTAATTTTTGCCAGAAAGAAGATGCAGCCGAGACTTCTTGATGGAAGTCCGTCAGGGACTCAAGGAACGTGTACTCCTAATAGTTGGACATCAGCCGAATTCTTCTTGAATTGGATGCATTTTTTCGTAGAGCAAGTGGGGCCAACAGCAGACAAAAAAATCCTGTTAATACTAGACAACCACGAAAGTCACATATATAATCCTGCACTTGAGTACGCAATCAAGAATAATATGGTGATATTATCCTTAGCAACACATACTACCTACAAAATGGAACCGATGGATGTTGCTGTATATGGCCCACTAAAAACATATTTTGAAAGGGAGATCAACATGTTTCAAAAATCTACCCCGGCCGTATCATTAACCAGTGCGATGTAGCTAGATTGCTAGCACCAGCTCTTCTCAAAACTGCGGTGGCCATTAACGCAGAGCATGGATTTGAACGTCCCGGGGTTTGGCCTGTAAACAGGCATGCTTTTGGTGATCACCAACAGATGTACTTGCAGGCACATTCCATTTGAATACTCAGAAACTTTGCCCCCACCGGAAAGAACTAATTCGCCAGAGCCATCATTCAGGCGTCATCTTCAAATGAATCTCACGATGAACCCAGACCACTTTCTTTTGGTAAATGCTACTCAACAAACTGATTCAATCACAAACCCTTTTGGAGAAGAAAATTCACCGATTTTAGAATCGATTAATCCTTTACCTGTTTCGTTATCATATGAAGTTGAAGTTCTAGATCATTTTCAGTCTCAAGACGACGACGTTAACATGGAAGAACATCCTTGCACTTCTAAGAAATCTAAATCTACAAAAAAACTCGAGGCGATGTTGTTCCTTCCACTTCATCCGAACCTGGAAGTCCTTCATTTTTAAGATCCCAAGACAATGTTGTCATTGAAGACCGTCCATATACTCCCAAAAGAAGTCCACGGCAATGGTGTTCTCGCCGCTTCACCCAAACTTGGATGTTCTAAGAACTACTATAGTCCTTCAGTTTTACGACCTATTCCACAGCCTGCTAAACCAATAACAATACGTAAACGGAAACTTCAAAGATCTACACTCCTGACAAGTACTCCAGTAAAGGAAGATCAGAAATAAAATTTTGAGAAAGCAAGAAAGACTCTCACGAAGTCACTAGACGAAAAATGTGTTTTAATATGTTCCTTTTAATTTCGATATTTATTTATTTTTGAGTCCAACTTCTTTGTTTGTGATAACTGCAATGATTAGTACTGTAGCACAAAAATGTTTTTTAATATGTTTCTTCAATTTTCAATGTTTATTTATTCATGAGTTCAATTTCTTATTTTATTTTTAATGTTTAGTTCTATGACAAATAATGTTGTTGTTCGCTTTGCCCTATTACTGAATCCACTTTACCCGGGGTGCTGGGCAAAGTGGATATTCATACCATTGTTGAAAACTGGTCTTATATATAGTAGTTTAATTAATATTAAGAACAACTGTTATTACATTATGTAAGTTCATTAAATGAATACGTAATATAAATATTTGTTTCAATTTCTCCAGTTATAACTAAAGGACAATAATCAAGAAAAACTTAAGGTATTAACGTTGCCCGGGTTTCCCCTATGGGTAACACAAAAATAATAGAAACATTTTTAACTCTCGAACCACTTCAAAAAAATAATTATACCATAAATCTATCCATTTTTATCTATTATTTTAGATATTCAAATTGTTCCCAATTTTTCGTGTACTTTATCCGGGATATTCCTCAATCGAATTCAGAACCGATGATATTCTTACAGTACGATGTACTTCCTCTACATTATTGTCTACTCCAAAACTTTCTTTTTGTACAACTTTTTATGAATGTTTGAAATGAAATTGTTCGTTCATCCGGTAGGTATATTTATATTTGGCAGAGCACTCTTCAGGTAATGCATATCTGCAAACTCGGCATTTGTTATATCAATAATATTATTGAGTTTAGTACAAAGAACGTGACAATTAGACTGTCAAAACAAAATATATTTCTCACCTACATTTTCAATTTCACAAAAAGTACAAATGAATAAATTTGACATTTGACACGTATTGATATTCATATTCTTATATATGGTATTTTATCCAGGGTAGCTATGGCTATCAGTTTTTGCTGGTTATTCAATTCAGCAGATACAAAATAGAGATACAGTGTAAGTTCAGAGGATCGAATCCCAATGATGATCATTCGCCACATCATTTTTCTTTCAGCATTCAATATACTACTTAGACAATGATTGTCCAACCTGTTATGAAATATATTGTGGTATTTATAAAAAACCATATGCTGCTTCACGCATAACTCATCAGACCTTTATTTCACCAAGACGAGTGTCCTACAAAAGGACAAACTGAATCATTACTTTGGTTTATGATTCACCGCTACAGGTTAACTTACCCGTTTGATGTAAGTTTTTCATTATAGATATTTATTTTTCAGATCGCAAACCATTAATGATGATGAGAATATTGGTATTGTATCATTCTCTCTATACAATACTGGGTATGAAAAGAGAAAGAGTCGGTCAACGAATTGGATTTACTCTTGATTTGTTGTGTTTGTTATGGAACCAGTCAGTTTCACCTGTATGTATGTATGTTTGTTTGTTTGTTACTCTCAAGCTCGGGATCTGTATTTGACAGAATTATCGACATTATTGCTTGATCGATTGGCGAGCAGATGGCGCTGTACGTAATCTCCTTGATATATCGACATCATTGCTTGATCTATTCGCGGGCAGATGGCGCTATACGTAACCTCTTTGATATAATTTGAACTCATTTTACATTTATTTCTTTATTTGAAAAAAGTTTTTTTTTATTAACACGCGCGCCTGCTGCCTTATTTGTAACCCTCCTTTGCGCGCCTGCTGCCTTGGGCTTGGTGTCTGATTTTCAGGCTCCCTCTCCGGAATCGGAAAATATCAATGGTCATTTTTCTGAACAATATACGGCTGATTGATCCCAAAGTTTAGATAAAATAAAAATAGTTTAAAATGACTAAAAAACACGCTTTTATAGCATACGGAACTACAAAATTAAAAATAAATATAGTTCAAAAAACTAAAAAACACGCTTTTAAAGAACATCGAACTAAAAAGTTAA